GGAAGGCAGATGTTGGTATTTCCTTTCTTTACTTTCTTATCTTTAAATGTTGTAGTGGTAAGACAAATTCCGCTTTCTCCATAGTGAATCTTAAAAAATAAACCTACTGAGAAACTGACTATGCAGGTGATTAAAGGCTACATATCTGTGAATTTTCTTTTTTTGAGGGGAAATAAGTGTTATTAATCATCTAGCAGATTGCAATTGTATAATAGTGTAAATGAGCAAGGTTAATTTTTCAAAGCGTATGCAAGACGGAGAAAGTCTGTAGTCACTTAAAAGCTAATGTAAATGTTCAAACAACACTGACTAACAGGTTAGTGCCTAATTCCAGTTTCCCATTATCATATGGATTCTTCCTCTTGTAAGTGTTAGAATGGATGTATGGTTGTCCTAAACCAGTCATTGGCTATACTTCCACATGGTGTAACATGAACTTACATTTTCACTGCCCAATAAGGACAGGGGGCCACGAGAACACTGAATCAATGAAAAATGTAAAAAGGAACACCAGAGACAGATTTAAGATTGAGCATGTCTGATAAAAGGATAATAATCAGCAAATAATTTTATCCAAAGTTCTACAGGCATTTAAAGGACTTTTCAAAGCATGCTCTCTCTCCGAAAGTCTTTGTAGTCTTACCTAATTTTTAGATTTGTCTGTGTTATGGGAAGACCTGTAAGTTTTTAGTATTTCACAGCCTACTAATTACTTCCTCAGCAGCAGTCAGTGCCAACAAAACCCTGTTCCCTGGCCAGACACAAGCAGGCCAGGCAGGCTGCCAGCCTTGGCTTGTCTAGCAGAGGCATAGGGGCTCTGACCATTTTGCTGCCTTGCACAGCTTCTTAACTGCCTGTATCGGGTGCTGGTCAAGAGAATCAAAGCAAATAAAACCCAGAACAATCAATATCATCTTTTTGCCCTGTAAAACTCAGTGTTGAAGGCTTGGAGATGAATGGCACACAGAGTGCTCTTCAATAACTAGGATTTGCTATGCTTGGAATAGTAGTGACTAAATGTGAATACCCAAGTAAGCAGCTGAATATCAGATGGTTAGGTAAAGTGTTCGAGCTACACAGAAATGTTTTTTCCCTTTACCTGGGGCACAAGAAGATATAAAGGCCTGCCCAAACACTATGTGAAAACCCTGTGGAGTGTTGCCGAAGACGTGCCTTGCAGGTGACACAGGCTTGGAGACGGATTGAGGCTTCCTGTTGTACACTCTGTTTACTCAGGCAACTGTGTCCCCTGTATACCGTTGTGTTTCTGCGTTACCTTAGAAAACTATGCCAAAGATACCACACATCTGTGTGTCCGGAGGAGTGCTCTAGCGCCTAGCAGGGCAGCAGATGTGAGAGAAGCCGGATCGAGTCTCACACAGCACCACACTTCTGCGATCTAGACTCAACAGCCAAATGGAGTCACTGGGGATTTGTTCAGTCAGCTTTTGTGTATAAAGCTTCCACTGCAGAAGGGAAAATGTAAAAGTGGACTGCAGACCTTGAATTCAGTGTAATCTGGCACTGTACTACACCACAGCCTTTCCTCTACCACACTTTCCCTTCCCACTGCCAGCAGGTGCTACGGTGCTTTCTCCCGTTCGGCAGCTCCACTCAAAAAAGGCAATGTCATTAAATATCCTGGCTGGTAGCCA